TATAGATATGGAGAGCAGATTAGTGGCTACCAGAGGAGAAGGCAGTTGGGGTGTGGGTGAAATGAATGAAGGAGGCCAACTGCATGGTGATGGATGGGAGCTAGATTTATGGTGGTGATCACTTTGTAGTGTATACAGATGTTGAACCACAATGCTGTACACCTGGAAGTTATATGATTAAAAAAGAGAAAAGAAAAGAAAATGTGAGGTTTAAGTAACTTTCCTCGGGTCACACAGCCAATAAGGGTTAGAGCAGGATTTGAACCCAGGCAGTCCTGCTCCAGCATCCGTGCTTCGAACTACTACCCTACAGTGCCCTGTTTCCCCAGTTGTCATCAGCCACCTGCCCCAGAAGAGCTAGGCAATTCCAAACCTTCCTGGTAAACAGACCCAAAGAACCTCTGGGAGTTATGAGGTGATGGGCATTTTTCTAACTTGTCCATGTTCAGAAGACTTTGTCTCACTTTAATTTCCTTCCAGGCATTTCACTGCTTGGCTCAACACACATTAAGAACTGAGCCCCTGAGATTTCATGCTTGTTAAGCTGGTCGTGCTAAAAAGGAAAGTTGCTTAGAAATTTTAAATTACCCATTACATAGAGCCAAATCCCATAGCCATGCCTGTCAGGAAAGGTGGGGGCCAAGCCCTCCAACAGTGCTTGTAGAATGAATGACTGCCCACGATCCTCCCTGGGACTGGAATCTTGCTGTCACCATAATAGAGAGCCTGGAAATCCTTTTGTTAAACAAAGTATCTCATTGTAATGACATCTGCATTTTGGAAGTGTCTTTATCAGGGGTCAGTTAGCTACAGGTGAATGAAATCTCATTGGCCCAATTTGAGCAGTAAAATGGAGTGTTATTTGAGAAGCTCCTGGACCCCCAAAGGCAGGAAGCATCACATGGGATTTGAAGGAGGAACCAGAAAGCCAGTAGGCACCCAGGAAGCTTCTCCCTGACTCTCCAGGGCTGCTGGGCCCTGCCTCTGCTTCTTTGCAGGTCCACTCTTCCTCACCCCTCCTCTGTGCACATGGCAGGGAATGGCTTTGCAGTCCAAAAGTGACAATTTCCCAGCTCTAGCTCCAGAATGCAATTCCAGAGTCTCAGGGCAGAAGCTGATTGGCTGGCATGGGTCAGGTGTCCACTCCTAGTCCAATCAGCTATGGCTAATGGGCTGTTCACCTCGAATGAACGTGGTTCTGTTGCATCTCACTACATGCTTTTTCACTTCCCATTTTAATAGCAATTAATGCCTACCTTACAGTGGTGCCAGTGATTTTTATAAACTGAAGTTCAGAATTTTGCAGTTCATATTAATCTCCACCAAAGAGTAGTTTTGAATCTTTAATCCCATCATCTCATACTGGTCCCTCCCAGACCATGAGGACTGCAGACTAAAGCAGTAGCTTTCTGTTATCAGTTCAGATTTGTTGGCAGGAATGTTGACAGACGGGACAAAGCACCAATCCCAGCAGTTGCCCAACTCCCAAAGTCTAATGAGTCATGTGTGACAGAGGGAAACGTGGGCCCCAGCCTGCTGTTTCATCTGAGAGGTCCAAGACAAAGTCTATGCCTCTCTGCTTTTAAAACCCAGGGCGTACGTACACCTCGGGGAGAATAGGTCAGAAAGCAGATGCAGGATGAAAGCCAAGGCCTGCCTTTCTTGCACACCCCGGCAGAGAAAGGCAGGCTGAGTCCCTGACACGTGACTTTTGGTGCATTCTCGGTTGCCCTTGCAGACCAACCCAGCCCATTCATTTCAGCCAGTGGAAATCAAATCACAGTAAACTGAGGTCATGACGATCCATATGGGAAGTTCCTTCTGCCAGATGTTAAGCCTCATGCCTGGAAGAAAGGATGGAAGGAACTCCTGGGGTCTTGTTAATGACAGCTGAGAAGGAGGGGAGAGGAGGGGAGAGGACAGGAGGTGCAGGAGAACTGACAGATGGAGGGGGAGTCCCTCGGCGTCCAGCCCTGAGCACAGGGGGTACGTGATGGTGGTGCCAACCACCCGTCCCTTTACTGGCACACGTTTATTGAGCACTTCCAGGCACCAGGTTCTGTGCCAGGCCCTGGGATGCAGCAGGGAACAGGGCAGAAAAGGCCTCTCCAAGAAGGAGGGTGTCAAGAAGAGCCAGCGAAGTGGGGCTCTGGGAGAAGAGCGTTCTGGCAGAGGGCACAGTAAGGGCAACGACTCTGAGGCAAGGAGAGACTCATGTCCATGGAATGAAAGGCTGGCATGGCTGGAGTGGGATGCTCATGGAGAGAAGGGTGTGAGGCTAGGCTGGAGAAGTCAGCCGGGAGTTGGGGGTCCACACTCAGGGCCCTAGAGGCACGGTGAGGAGTTAGATTTTCTTTATTCTCAATGTAGTAGAGATAATGCCAATTAGAGGGGTTGATGACAAACTCCATTTTAGGTATCCGGAGTTTGAAGTGACAGAGTGGACATGTCTGGACCGTCCAAGGGGTCTTTGGAATTGGAAGATGGTACCCCAGGAAGAGAGGCCAGAAGTTGGCTGATGTCAGCGAGCAGGGCCTGCATGGGAGCCAGGAGCTGGATGAGGGCAGTGTTGGGAGAGGACGGTGTGGAGCTGAGGGGTTTGGGCACCACCAGATTTAGAGTGCAGGGAGGAGTGGAAGGCGCCATGACACAGAGAGAGGAGCCGTTGGCCGGGGAAGTGGAGAACCAGGAAGGGATGATGTCTCCTAAGCTGGTGGAGGGGGGTACTGCTGAGTGGAGGAGCTTTGCCTGGGATGTCAAGCAGGGAAGGAGAACTGAGAAAAGGTGGTGTACTTAGAGTCATTGTGTACTTGGAGAAAGTCACTTCAGTGGAGGGTTTTGGGAATTATAGAACTCTTATGGATGCCGGGAACAGAAAACCACAAAGGGATTGACTTCAGGTGCAGCTGGATCCAGGGGCTCAAATGATTGTCATCAGGACTCTCCATCTCTCAGCTCACGTTCCCCAGGTTGGCTTCATTCTCAGCCAGATTCCCCCAACACAGTGTAGCAAATGGCCTCCAACAACTCCACCCCCCATCCTACCAGCTCAGCAGTGCCAATTTAAAGAGAGCCCCTCTCTCTCCCCGTAGTTCCTTTCATGAGCCCAGCTTGGAAGGATGCTGTCAGTGTTTTGCCTAATCTGCATGGACTGAAGGTGGGGAAAATCAGAATTTTGTTCCTAGGAGGAGAAGTGGAGTCTGGGTGGGCAAAACAACAACTCTGCACACAGGAGCCAAGTTTCAGGGGGTTGAGAGAGGGTGATGGTGGCGAGAGAGGGCAGTGGTGATGAGGATGCCGTGTCTTCGGTGAAAGGAGGGAGAGAATAGGATGGTGGTGGGAGGGAGCCCCAAGATCAGGTCAGTTTCCTTTTTCTTTCAGGTAGGAGAGATATATGCATGTCTGCAGACAGGGGGAGGGGAAGATGCCAGTGGGGAAGGAGTGATTGAAGATTCTGGAGAGAGGAGATAATTGACGGGGCCAGGCCCCCGAGGAGACAGGCAGAAAATGGAGTGCAGGGCGCAGCACGATAGGAAAGGAGGAAAAACAGAATGTCAGTGTCGTCAGCTACTGTTTTCAGAATGACACCCTTACACGGCAGTTAGCCATGGCGTGGCCGTGAGGACTGGCCACTGCCTAGATGCGACACCCT